TCCTTTCCCAAAACTCAGGAACCACCTTGTTGCAACCTCTATTAAGGACTTACTCCAGGCTTCTTTCCAAGAGAAAGGTAAGAATCAGAAAATAAAATGCCACACAAAGACCCCTAGCAGTCATAACCCACAGATTTATTCACAGTAAGATGGCGCTCAAGTGTGACATCCATGCTGGGCGCAAGAGGCTGCTCTGAGCGTGTTCCCATAGAGGGCACGGGCTCCTGAAGGAGGGCACTGGAGAGTGCTGTGGCAGCACAAAATGATGGAAAGAGGCAGTGAGGGTGATAAGGATACATTTTCCCCACTTAACAACCAGGATAAGCCCTGTCTTTACCCAAATACAGACTGTGTCTAGATTTTACCCCTGAGACCAATGGGTATCAACCTTGCTGGGGTTCTTTTGAAAAATATCCATGTCCAGACCCCACTCTAGAGATTGTGACTTAATTGCTCTGAGGTGGGGCATGGCCATTGAGAACCACTGGCCTGGAGCAATATCAAAGCACATATCAGAAGAGAAAGACAAGGGCTTTGTTTCCAAAGTTGGCTGGGCATGAATCCCAATCCTACCGTTTACCAGCCTCGTCATCTTCTGTGAGTCACTTAAAACCTCTGAGCCTCCATACAAGTAAAATGGTGCTAATAATTCCTACCTCATAGGATTATGGTAAGGATTAGAGAAAACACGTTCAAAATTCCTAGAACATAATAGACCCTCAATGAAATGGTGGATATAAGTATTGTTAATGCCTCCCCTACAACCCAGTGGGGAGTGATATTTAGCACCATATGGTTTAAACATGTAAGGCAATGTTGCCTACGTGACAAAATATCAGTGCTTTAAGGAACAGGGTTGCTTTGTTTCTGAGTAGGCCCCCTCGGCCCAGTCATATAGGAAAGACGCTTGGCAGGCCAGAGGTACACTTCTCTGAAAATTAACATCATCCAGACTGTGACTTTTCATTGAGGCACTATGCCCTTAGTAAGTAACATTTGTGTCAGCAACTACAGACCTAGGCAGCTATTCTGCCACAAAGCAACTGACATAGCAGTCAGTAACTGCTCTTGAATAGGAATGCTGTGCCTACAGAAAGCAATGGGTGGCAAAGGCATTATGGGAACATCACATGAACATGGGCCAGGCATCCATCACATTTTTCAGGCACATTTGTATATGAGGGGAAAACCATCAACATGCACAAAAGGCAAGGAGAAACATCTTTCCTGTCTTTTTTGTGTGTGTGTGAGGAAGATCAGCCCTGAGCTAACATCCGATGCCAATCCTCCTCTTTTTTTTTGCTGTGGAAGATTGGCCCTGAGCTAACGTCCATGCCCATCTTCCTCTACTTTATATGGGACACTGCCATGGCATGGCTTGACAAGCCGTGCATCGGTGCGCGCCTGGGATCTGAACCTGTGAACCCCAGGCCACTGCAGTGGAGCACACACACTTAACTGCTGTGCCACTTGGCGGGCCCCCTTCCTGTCTTTTATTAGCAAAATAATAGTATCCAGTTACCAATTCCGTTAAGAAAATGCTTCCTGGCCTTTTCACTGTACTTGACCCTCTTCCCACCCAAAATTGGCATTAAATCTAAAATACAATGGTATGAAGCTGAGAGCTTGAGAAGTCTGGCCTGACCTAAGTCAAGTTTGTGTGGAAGACAACATATTGTAGGTATAGTCTGAACGACTAGAGAAGAGAAAATAGCAAATTTTAATCAAGATAATTATTCGTTGACTTAATTTAGACTTAATTAGAGCAAACGTTGATGACCTAGGTCCCCACTTTAAAATACAAGATGTGGGGGCCGGCCCAGTGGCTTAGCAGTTAAGTGCGTGTGCTCCGCTACTGTCGGCCCAGGTTCAGATCCCGGGCACGCACCGATGCACCGCTTCTCCGGCCATGCTGAGGCCACGTCCCACATACAGCAACTAGAAGGATGAACAACTATGACGTACAACTATCTACTGGGGCTTTGGGGAGAAAAAAAAAAGGAGGAGGATTGGCAATAGATGTTAGCTCAGAGCTGGTCTTCCTCAGCAAAAAGAGGAAGATTAGCACAGATGTTAGCTCAGGGCTGATCTTCCTCACACAAAAAAATAAAAATAAAGAAAATAAAATACAAGATGTGGGAAGAAATTCTAACATAGGAATCAACAGATTAAACTAAGACAAACTATTGCAAGACAGAAAAAATATATCTGTGACAACAAAATCCTAATCAGGACTCTAATCCATGAACTGATTTTTCTCAGCTGTGAACATTAGCCAGTGCTTGGTCCTTATCCTTGATAGTAGGGGTCAGCAAATTACTGCCCATGGATGAAACCTGGTCCACCACCTATTTTTGTAAATAAAGTTTTATTGGAATAGAGCCACATTCATTTGTTCACATATTGTTTATGGATGCTTTCATGCTGCAAAAGCAGAGTTGTGTAGCTTCAAGATAAGTATAGCTCGCCAAGTTGAAAATATTTCCTGTGTAGCCCCTTACCAGAAAAGTTTGCTGAGCCCTGATCTATAGAAACGTGGCATAATATCATTTCCCCATCAAAAATACTTAGGCTAAACATGACAGCTTAAGTAAAAATATATCAAAATATGTGCTTGAAGATTTATGCTTTATATGGAATACATAGACTAGCAATAATGTGTTTATTATTTGTTACATACCATTTGAGAAAAATTACTTTATGCTACTAAATATCTATTTTTATATAGATAAGAGTTATGCTAACAGTAAAGATTTCATTTCAGTCTTTATTAGTAATTACTAGGTGGTTAGTTATTTTCACCTATCAGGGCAACTTGGAAAAGAAATACAGTTCATATTATTTCTGTCTTAGTTTTTCCACAGATTAAATGTAAAAGGAAATGGAACTGGTGTGTTTAATTCAACTCAGCACTTTCTAACAAGGATGAAATAGTGTCAATTACACGCACTGCAGTTGTTTTAAAGCAAACTGAAACATAAAATATACTCAATTTAATTAAAGCATAAAAATAAAATGAGGTATCAATAGTAAAAGAGTGAGAACAGCAGTATTGTTATGGAAATCTTATTTATGCATCTAGATTTAATGCATCCAAAACTGGGTTTTAAACAGTCATTAATGGCAATCCAGTTAAAATAGAGCAACAAAGGAGGAAAAAAAACAATTTAAATAAGTGACATTTTTCTTTTTTGCATTTAGCCATCTTCTAACGAAGGGGCTATTAAAATTTTAAATCAGTTTTTAATCAAAGTTTAGTGGTACAATATTTAATTGAAAACAACACCAGATGTTCTTTATCAAAACATCTTTCCTAATGGCTAAATCAAGGTCCGAGAAGTTATTTAATGAGATAATTGTTGGTCTGTGAATACAGCAGCAATTTCTTATTTATTTGTAACACTAAAACATACAGATTTGGAGGCTGGCAGGGGTTCTGTTGACTTCTCTCTGCTTCTCATATCTCTCCTTGGGTGGTCCAAACAAAGAGGGGTGCTTTGGACCCAAATCTCAAAGTCCAAAACCAACAGATAAGCCCCAGGGATCAGTGCCCTGGGAGACCGGCACATCTCTGAACCACAGGATAAATTCCACTGATAGCATAGAGGGCATAGGCAACAAACTACAAAGTCACAGACACACAAGAGCAAGGAAGGGACATCATGGAGCTTGGCTTCAGTGAAGAGTTAATTTCAGAAAACAATATTTGACAACTGTGGTAAACAGAATTCTAAACTGACCACCCAAGATTTCCCATCCCAATCTCCAGGACTGTAAATATGATGAGCTATCGTGCCTGTGATTAAGTTACATTACATAGCAAAAGGACTTTTGCAGATACAACTAAACTATTGTTGATCAGCTGACTTTGAGTTAATCAAAAAAAGGATGATTCAGGTGAGCCTATTCTAATCACATGAACTCTTTTAAAGCCAGAGAGTTTTCTCTGGCTGGTGGCAGAAAAGTAAGTCGGGAGATCTGAAGCATTAGAAGGACTCAACAATACAGTCGCTGGCTTTGAAGATGGAGCGGGCCACATGCAAGGACCAGAGAGCTGTCCAGCCAACAGCCAACAAGCAAGTGGGGACTTCAGTCCTACAACTGCAGAAACTAAATTTGGCCAACAACCTGAATGATCTTGGAAGTGGATTCTTCCCACTAGAGCCTCCAAATAAGAACTCGATCCAGCCCACACTTTCATTTCAGCCTAAGCAGAGAACCCAGTCGATCCTGCAAGCTGCTAAACTTGTGTGAACTTGTTAAGCAGCCAAAGAAAACCAATACAACCACCATCCCCTCCATTATTAAGGCCAGAATAATGGCATTTCCAAATCATCTATTGGCTTTTCTTATTGTGGCTCTGCTTGATCAAATTCCTAAGACCCCTCCAACACTCACCATGAAATTAATAATACTTCCTCTCTCTGTAAGAAAAAAAGGAATTGAGAATCTAAGAATATTACACAAGTTACACCAAGGTCTGCAGGCACCTTTCCCAAAAAGACAAATACGGCAACAGGTGGAACACGTAATGCCTGTGAGATTCCGGGGAGACACCTCTCTCCACAAAAGCTGTGCCAGTTTGCTATTCCATGTTGCTCCTACAGAGCAGAGGTGGACTTAACTATGAACCTGCTTCAAATGGGGTGATTAAATTCATACTGCATATTAACACTGACCATCACTCCTGCTACACGGGAGATGATAAAAAGGGGTAAAACAGCCCCCCCCCAATCCCTTTGAATCAACCCTCTGTGTCCACTTTGCCCGTGAAAGTGAAGGACTAGAATTGCTTAGCCTTTTGGAAAAATGTATCTCACCAGCAGGGGGCTGACACCAGTGTGGGGAATATTCATACATCATTTACTACTCTTTGAGATAGCGAATTAAAGAGCAATAGAAAAACCCTGTGATGCCTTAGAACCTTTTGCCTTATTGCTTATTTTAAAAGAATGAGAAAGGAGAATCCCCAAATCTTGGTAGGTCCTACAGCAGCAACCATGAAACTGAAGAACTCCATGGGCACGGAGGAGGCTGTTCTCCCAGAGACCTTCCCACCTGCAGATGGCTCAGAGGCCAGCGTGTAAGTCTTTGCAAGTTGGGCTAGAAAGACCAGCCCTAGCCCTACACAAACAAGGTTCCATTTTGTCCCAGTCACCATTTTAACTCTATCACTGTTCAGATAGGATTTTTTTATTTATTTATTTTTTTTGGCCTTGTAAAACTTTCGAAAGATTCTCAAACTTAAGGCAAACATTAGGTATCTCTAATATTCCAAGTGTTGCCTGCAAAGCCATTTAGCCCTAAGAGCCACCAACAGACCTACCCATCTAGCCCCCTCAATACCCTGAGTCCCTCCAAAAAACAGGAGGATTCAAATGGAGGAGCAAAGAAAAAGGAAAATAAAGCTGTGTTTATCTAACTGCCTCAACCTAGTGAAAGAAGAAGGTCCAACAAGTGATTTATTTTATGCTATTAATTTTGACAAAACAATTCATTGGTTTAGCAATTCTGTGAAAACACCAAGGAAAGCACAGGAAATAATTGAATAATAGCATTTATTGACACGTCCAGAGCACTGTTCCATGTGCTCTATGTGTATTAGCTCATTTAACGCCCCTACAACCTTATGAGGTAGGTGTTACTATTATCCCCATGTCATAGACGAGAAAACTAAGGCACAGAAAGGTTATTTACTCAAGGTCATGCAGCTAGAAAGTGCCGGAAACTGGAATAAGAGAAGAAAGGGAACCCCCCCACATACACACAAATGGAGATGTCTAGGCAAGAGAGCTAACCAGTGGAAGATGAAGAGACAAATTATTCATTCATGCACCTATTGGGCTGAGTGCTAGAGATACAGCAATAGTAACAGTTCTTAAGCTAGTCGTTATCCTGAGATTGCACAGTCTGGTTGTTAGATACAGTGCAGTAAAGCCAAGATGGAGAATGTGTCTAGGAGGGGCCCTTCCCCAGACCTGAGGGTTAGAGAAGGCTCTTCCCACAGTGACCAATGTCTGAGCTGAGATCTGAAGGATGAGCAAGGATGCCCTGGGGGTCAGAGCAGAGTGCCTTAGTCCCTTGAGAAGGATTTTCACTTCCCTTGAGCCCTGAATGTTTTAAAAATAAACCCCAAGAGAAGAAAAGAACAAGACTCTGACAGCCAAATTCCAAATGAGTCCAGTCATAGTTTATTTTTCCTCCTACCCTAAAAGCCCCCAGGGAAAGAGAAAAGTCTGGCAAAGGCAGAGCAGGGTAGGATGGATGGATTAGGAAAGGCTGGGAGGAAGGAAGCTCTTGTGAGCAAATCCAGCTACAGATGCCGTGGGGGAGCATGTCTGGTGTGTGGACATGTACTTAGAGAACATGACATAGATGACTGAAAGCAGTCCAAGTGAGCAGCCAACCCAGGGCGGCCCAGTAGGAAGGAACTGAACTTCTGGAGCAGACGATGCACAGAGGTCTACACAGGCAGGCAGGCGTCAGACAGATCTGGCAACAGACTGCAGGAGTCCAGACTTGTCTGGCGTGCAGAAGTCAGACAACTCCCAGAAGGGAAACAGCCAAAGGAGGCAAGGTTCCATCCCAGGGAAAGAAAACAGGGTCTTGGGAAGGAGCTAAATGCTCAGATTCTCCAGGGAATTCCAGAAAGAAGAAACAGTGCGTGAGAAGTCTAGAAAGGTTGGCACATCCAGGGAACCAGAAGTCTTTCAGTTTGGCAGATCAGCAAGGTCAAAGGGGAAGGGTCGAGTGATGCAGCTGGAGGACAAGTTTTAAAGTGTTTTATAAAAAAAATTGTAAGAAGTCTGGCACTCTTCTTACCAAATTAGGGGTGGTAAGTCAAGCGTATTTATTTGAGTATAAACCTGATTGACCAGCGCTGCCTCAATGAGGCCCAGATTAAGAATTTTATATGTTCTAATTGGTTTGATGCAGTTATACCTGGGAATAGCTTTTATTTGGTGTCTAATGAGCCTCTTCTTGCAAATGCTATTGGTATAAAATTATATTAAAATGTGACCAAAGATTTAGCAAGATGTTTTCTTTTTTTTTTTTTTTTTTTGTGAGGAAGATCAGCCCTGAGCTAACATCTGTGCTAATC